GAACCCGGGTCTTCGGCGTGACGAGCCAACGCTTTAACCATTAGGCTACGCCACCGCCCCAAGTAGCAAAGGGTTCAATAGAAACAAATATCACAAATAATATCACGTCTGTAATGCAGAGGATCTGATATTCATTGCATGGTATACATACATTGCTACTTTGTGACTATTTGATTTTTGGATGACATGAGGCTAGGACCTTACTAAGGTTTATATAATGTGATCCAGTGCTTAATATAAGTATTCCATTCCATCATTAAGCGTGCATTCACTTTAACTTCGAGTTGCCCATTTGTGTTATGAAAAGTAGTTGAATAGACTGCCCTTTTGTTATCCCTGGGAGCGTAACAAACGTGTTAAATATACTACTCGTCATTAATAAAGGGCCAAATGATATATAGCACATGCAAAGAAAAAAATAGAACTAAAGGTGCCATCATAATGTTTAATGTGTTGACAAACGTGACACATCGCGACATACAGACAAAATTGCAAACAGCACAAGCAAACATCAGTTGTATAGACCAACCTTTCAAAATGAAAATGACAAAGACGAAGCACTCGGTCATTCAATATCTTGTGTACCCTCCTCCCGCATCCAAGACACAGGTCACCATGTTCTCATCTCCTTGGTGTGTGCGTGCGTGCATACGTGCGTGCGCGTGTGCACGTGCGTGTGTGTGGTTGGGGGCAGGGTTGGGGTGAAAGGCCTTACCTATGGGCAGTGGTCTCTAGCACCCGTTTTCTATACTATATAAACATCGAACTGGAAGACTTTTGATATGTGGTATAAAAGATACGTTTGTCCAGAGTAATGCCTTAAAGACTAGGTCTTATTATTGGTTTATTATTTAGAGTTAAGTCTGGATTCTTATGTAATTCCCTTTTACTTTTTTTGCAGAACACAAACCTATTTTCCAGGGTAGCCTAGTAGTTAAAGCGTTTGCCTTGTCGTGCCAAAGACCCGGGTTCGATTCCCGACATGGGTACAATGTGTGAAGCCCATTTCTGGTGTCCCCCGCCGTGGTATTGCTGGAATATTGCTAAAAGCGGCGTAAAACCACAGTCACTCACTCACTTTATTAAGGAGGGTATGCGTATTTTTATTTAGAACAAACCTCACTTTTTTCCAACTTGTACGTTTTTTCTGGTTAAATGTTCTTCAAGCTTTTGCTTTTGACATTCGTAAATAGGTTATGTTGTCTGGTGTGGGGTGTTCCTTAAACACTCTTTCAGACGTTTTCCTTTATTTCCTAGTTTTTCTACAATCGTCATTTTACCATCGAGTTTTTACATGTCAATTTGTCGAGGTTTAGGGATTATTATGTAATAATCAATAATTACGTCACAATTACGACACTAACACAAACATTTGCTTGCTGTTCAGATAGCTGATGAGCGAAATAGCTGAAAGAAGCGTCAGTAAAATCTAGCAACAATCCCCACTTCCTGGTTTTCCAATGCCCAAAGGGCAATGCGCTTGGCTTTTTTAGCACAACAAAGTCTCCAACATTAACCAGTTATCTCTGTTTTTGTATATGCCTGTATATATTGCTCAATTCCTTTGCTTTGTTCGACTGTGCGTTCCTGTTTGGTAAAGTCTAGCAAAAACTCCACTTCCTGGTTTTCCACTGCCCAAGTTGTTGTTGAGATCGGTTTTACGTCACATCGGCGTAATTCAAGCCATATAGTGAGCCATAATGAGTTTTACACATTTTAAATACAAAGTCCCAAAAAGAGTTGCATATATATTCATTACATTACTATTTACACGTGAAAAATTACAGCATCAAACTCAAAAACAAGCAATCTGTGACTCACATTACACAGTTATAATTTATGGTACAGGTCAACTTCCCCCAGGTAGTTAACAATCAGATGCCCGCTCACGAGGGAAAACAGAACTTTCAGATTTATCGCTCCATAATGTGAGTCTCTTGCAGTCGAAAAGTCCACGCAGTCAAGAAAACTAATCGGCCACAAAACTGCGGCCATGGCAGTCGTACTTTCAAAACATCTTAACTGCGCCACAGAAAGTTTTGAATTGGTGTTTCGCAAATGCACTATAGACACATAAATCTATGCGTCGGATAGCTAGGATCAAGGCAATTCAAGAATACTAATCGTTTTTACTGTAGGCCCAAGGACAACGGAGCTACAGCCTGTCAAAGAGAGAACTATTTCTTCTCCGGAACTATTTCACCCCGGTTGCCGTGTTTGAAAGATCCGCTCTCGTGTCAAAAACGTGTTCTGCCTGCGTTTTGGATGGTTTCTAGCCCTTAAATACACTTCAAACACCCGTAACTCCGAGAGTTAAAATGGACGCTCCAGCTGGCGTCCACAGAAAAAGTACAAGTGAAGGCAGCCACTGGGAGTGTATGGGGAAGTCTGAAGACCGTCAGTATTGCCCAGGAGGCAATCCTGGTATTATGTTTTACAGATTAAAGATGAAAATGCAGCAGAGAGGGTTCGGGTGATCCTGGCACAGTCAGGCTGGTAAGGCTCATCATCACCTCAGGGCCCTTGCCCCTCTACACGCAGCCCAGACAGCGAATGGGACTTCTCCCAGGAAACACTGCCTAGTCGAACCCACCAAGAACTTTCCGGAGAATTTGAAGGCTCCCCAACACTGCAGCCTTCTGCATTACCCAGAGTGTCAGAAGGGCTGTGCTCCCGGTGGAGAACCCGGGCACTCTCCTGATCTGCGCAAAGAGATCAGGAGGTACCACACCAAGGGCACCGAAAACAATGGGGAGCCTGACGACAGTGTACTTGGGATGCAAGCGAGACATTTCAAAGGCGAGGTCCACATATTTATCATGCTTTTCCTGAGTCTTGCCAATCACGTTACTGTCAAAAGGTTCAGAAAATTCAATGATATAATTAAATTCACTGGCTTTATCAAAAAAGACAAGATCAGGTTTGTTGGCAGGAATTCTTCTGAGGCTGTATATGGGCCTATTCCACAGAGGTTTGAAAGCATCATTTTCCATGATGCCCTGGACATGCTCAGGGTCGTACCATGGGTGGACCTCAGAGTCAAAGCCACAGACATGGCGGAGACGGTAGTAAAAGCAACGAGCCATGCCATCATGTCGTTTAAGATATGCTGTTTGTGCCAAAGAAGGGCATCCACTGACAAGGTGTTGGACAGTCTCTGGAAATTCATTACACAGTCGGCATTTCATGTTAATATTTTCTTTAAGAATCATATTTTGACGATTGCGAGTGGGAAGTGACTGGTCCTGAGCAGCAAAAGGAAAGCCCTCAGTTTCACATTTAAGACCAGCAGACTTCATCCAGGCGAAGGAGTCGGTGGGACTCCCATCGCTGTACCGCCCAGCAGTACATCGCTATCAGTAAAATCAACCTCAAGTTTCAGATTCTGTCCAACAACCTTGGCACGCTTTTAATAGCTGTGGAATTCCTTACTTTCATCATAAGTCTTCACATGCATCACCAGAGGATCACCCGATAAATAAATATGTGCAAAAGTACACAATAAAATTCTATAATGAAGAGCCTCCACATTAATCAAACCTCGACCTCCAGAATTGATTGGCATGTATAAACGATTGAGAGAGGAACGAGGATGGTGGGCTCTGTTATCAGACATGATCCTTCTGGTCAGATGGTCAAGACTCTGGATGTCTTGTTTTGTCCAATCAACTACTCCAAAGGAATAGGAGAGGACTGGCACAGCAAAAGTATTGGTGGCCTTGACCTTGTTTCGAGCATTTAGCTCTAAGCTCCAGACTTTCTTTAAGCGAGATTTATACTCGGCCCGAAGTATTTCTTGAATCTGGGCATTTTGGAGCTTGTCTCGAACTTGCATTCCAAGATAGGTGTAGGCCTGATCTTCCACAAGATGCTCAATAATTCCTCCCCCTTGTAACTTGACCGATCAATAATTAGTTACCGCGCCACGTTTCAAATGAAGAGTATTACATTTGTCGAGCCCAAATGTCATGCCAATATCATTAGAAAAGGACTCGACAAGGAGAACCTGTTTTTTTCAAATTGGTATCTCCTTTGGCAAGGAGCTCTATGTCATCCATGTAAAGGAGATGAGTAAGCGGTGTTGGGGATATGCACTGAGGAGGTCCGGGATGGTAACCCTCCTCTCTGTTGAGCAGAAAGCTCAAAGGATTTAAAGACAAACAAAAAAGTAAAGGACTGAAGGAGTCCCCCTGGAAAATTCCCCTTCTGATTGGAATAGACTCCGAAGTCATTATTATTATTATCATTAAATAGGCACAGATCATTTCTCTGTAGCACCTCACCCAGATCCTTACCTTTCTGACTGTGATCAATTGAATCCTATAGCGAGTTGTGACCATTAGAGAACACAATGTGATGTAGAGTTAGATGTACTGGGATTGCTTTTTAGAATGGTGACACTGTGTATTGTCCCTTCCTGAACAGGTATGCTGACACCACCTGTGCTGTTACCATTGGTATGTTTTGCATATGAATAAAACATGTTATCCTGACGGAAGTTAAGATGCTCATCTTCCTTTAGATATGTTTCGTGAAGCCTGAAGGCCTAATATAATATAATATAATATAATATAATCAATGTATCATGCGCATCTCCATGCACAGTGCATGCTCGAAGCGCCCAAACAATCTGATTATTTCCCCGAATAACCCAAGCTACCTGTGAGGCGCTAGAAGGCTAATGGTTACGTGACTTATCCAACCGGGCACCCATTTGCTGCTGGATGAACAGAGGCAATTTTGAACAAACTGACTTGCTTAAGGTGAGACCACATGTCTCATGTGCTTCGTTGTGGGACATTCCATTTTGGTCCACAGATGACACAGTTGACAAGGAGCTGTCAGAATTGTTCCTCTGAAACCTTTGGTCCTGTATCAACGTCTTACACGTCTAAGTCTTGAACCCCTTCTGGCTTTCTTCTTTCATGCTGTGACACAACTAAAACACCATTACAAGAGTAGTTACCCCCAACTTGCTCGTATACATTTACATTTTTCAGCTGAGCGACTTCATGACTTGAAGATTGAAGTATTTGTCGAGGACCCAGTACAGTTTCCGACCACCCTTTCCTTTCTCTGCGCAATGTATGAAGGACCTATGCCTACAGGAGCCACAGAAAACATCTCCTGCTCCTGTTTGACCAGGGGGCGATATTTGAGGATAGAAGGTCTGAATCGAGTAAATGATCAGGATCGACATACCATGTGTGAAGTGGAGACCTTTGGAACAAACGCCAATCACTGTGAGTAGGCTAAGGACACTCACATGCTTATTTAGAGGGCAATTGTTTTCAAAAGTAAGTTCGGTAAGATTATTACGGCTTGTAAGATAGGGAACCAGGTCGTCAAAGGCTAAAAGGACGAAGTTCCCAAATGATAGAAATACAAATGTGATTTGTTGAATTTTCTCACCAAATACAGCTAGCTGAAATATTAACTTGTATACTTTGAGGGCCTAAACGTAGCGTCCGTTATGAGACGTCCAAGGAAAGACATGCTTTCCTTTTACTCTTTATTATTCGGAATATATTTTCTAGTAACCTACGAATAAATTGGGTGCATTTAAATGTTAACAGCCAAATGTAATGCCCAATAGTCCAGTAATATCAAAGCGAAGACAAGAGCCTTACACACTTTACCCAAGTGGGGACATGAACCTGGACCAGAAAGCCAACGCTATTACCACTAGATCACCCCATCGTTCCCTTAAATGTTTGGCATTTGTATGATTCTAGTCCAACACATCGTAGAACAAATGAGTTTATAGAATGGCATCAAACTCTTGTTAGGACTAACAGTAACACAAGAGCTGATTTACGTAAAAGAGTAGTGTAAGTAGCTGCCAGTAAGTCCTCCAGTGGCTGCTCTTCCAGAAATCGGGGCGGTGGGGTAGCCTAATGGTTAAAGCGTCGGCTCGTCACGCCGAAGACCCGGGTTCGAATCCCCATATTGGCACAATGTGTGAAGCCCATTTATGGTGTCCCCCGCCGTAATATTGCTGGAATATTGTTTAAAGCGGCGTAAAACCCAACTCACTCACTCTTTTCCCGAAATCAGTTCACTATGTTCACAGGCTTCACCTCTACGATGCGCCGTATTGAGGGTACAAGGTTTGATGGAGATCTTTACCCAGTCGACGTCACATCTACCGTGGAGTGTGCCAACGTCTGTTTCCACAACAGCACCTGCTTTGGTTTCAACTTCAACCACGACAGCCTTTTATGTGAGCTAAGAGTTGGCAGTGCACAAGCATTAGCTGTATCAGGCTGGTCTTACTTTGTGTGGGAAAGATGTATTTGATTTGCTCTAAAGAACCGACCGTGGCATCATGCACAGACATTGGATTTGTTCGGGTTTTTAAAAAAAAATATGTATACCTGTTCATGACATTTCCATATTTAACCCATCAGAGACAAGGATGATGTCCAATCCAATTCCATGCTGTGACTTGTATCAAATCAATTTCGGGTGAACAGCTGACTTTCCTTTGAATATTCATGTCACCGTGAGCAGATATAGATTCAAAGACTGAATCAATATGCCTGTAATTGGATATGCTTGATGTCAAGGGAAGGCGTACCACGGTCCTTTTTTAACGTTGGGCTATTAATCTTTTCATTTTGCTTACCAAACGCTAGGTTGGCTCTTCAGGGATGCAACTGTTACCATTCGTACATTCTTCATATGAATGAAACATTTTTTACTGATGGATGTTCTCTGAGATACGTTTCCTGAAGGCTGAAAACGACATGATTATATTCCTGTGATAAAAGTTTCAATTCATCAAAATTAGCATTGAGACCCCGACCATTCCATTGTAAAAATCCGGTACTAGCCATTATGGAACATTGACAAGTGATCGTTCTCGGTCTTATTTCTTTGGTAAATGGCTCATGTTCTGTTGTGAAGACACTTCCGTACTCACAAACACACCAAACCTATTGAACTTGGAAATAGGATGTTTATAGCCCTTTAAACTAGATATGCTTGATGTCAAGTCAAGGGAAGGCGTACCACGATCCTATTTTTACTTTTGGCTATTCTGACATTAAAAAAAATTAATCTGTTCATTTTGCTTACCTAATTCTCAGTTGGATCTTTAGGGATGCAACTGTTATAATGATTAACAATCGTAATTAACATATATTTGGTATCTGATGTTGCTTATATTTCATTAACTGGTGGGGCGGTGGGGGTAGCCAAGAGGTTAAAGCGTTCGCTCGTCACGCCGAAGACCAGGGTTTGATTCCCTACATGGGTACAATATGTGAAGCCCATTTCTGGTGTCCCCCGCCGTGATATTGCTGGAATATTGGTAAAAACGGCGTAGAACTAAACTCACTCATCGGAAAACCAAAACCTGGGTATCAAAATGATAACTAACATAATTCACTCTGATAAAAAAAAAATATAACACAACAACTGAAATTGAAATTGGGTAAAACTTGGCAATGTGAGACGAATACAGAACAAACATGAATGTCAATAATGCTGGAATGCACGGTCACCATAAGTAGGCAAGCAATCTGATTGCCACACTGTTCTCAAAGAATGACTTTTGTGACTATGAACCACCATTGGAGACCGTATCAATATCTTGTGAAGCGACTCCACGCATGCAAGCACAAGCCAATTGTCCCATCATACTAGCAATCAAGCGCAGAATTCTCAGCATGGGAATCCTCTGCCATTCTTCATTGAATGTCTGCGTCAATTCCTGCAGATTTTCAACAGGAGGGTGTCTAGCTTGCACTTGACGTCCAAGATCGTCCGGGTTCATATCAGGGCTTCTTGTGGGTCATGGTAATGTTTTGATAGTGCTGTGCTGCAAATGGGGGATGACTGCTCGGAAACATTGTAGTCCAGCGCTGTCATCCATGATTATTAAATTTTGGCATGGCGGCCTGTATCCAGTACTTCCTTTCGATACCGTTGGCAATTGAGTGTCCCAGATCTCATTTGCAGTTATACTACTCCACACTGTCTCTGAGCCACCAAAAAAAAGGTTCAGCTGCATGGATTATTTTCTCGCCATATGGTAATTATGAACTGTTAGAGCATGGATATCGGATCAGAGTATGGAGTACCAGACGACAAGAAAAACAAATTTAGAGTTATCTCCCTTCCATCGATTTGTATTCGTAAAACACCGGCAATTTCCGTACATCATACGTGATTCAATGTTATTCGAGATAAAGATTACTACTACGAAGTACCAAATGAGCTCGGCATTCCCAGCGGGGTACATAGAAAATGTTACTCGCTTGTAAGCGGGGAACATTGAAAATAATAGAAGAGCGCTGAGCCAATCAGAAAACGACATTTATATGTGAGGCAAGATAATAATCCATGTACTCAAGTTGCATCTTTCGCAGAGCCTGCACTTTGTCGGACGATGTTGTGTCAAGCCAGTAGCCTCCTTCTGATTTTTCTGGTGGTGAGTCGGACTCCCACTTTCCATTCATTGGTATGTGTCATGTGATTGCCTGTGGACAGACGAATTAGGACTCCGTCATCACAGGGGCTTGTAACTCTAAAACCTTCCATCAAGGTATGTACCATCACTAACGGGGTTTTAGCACTATAAGGCCAAGGTCGTCAATGGCTAACGGCACGACACAAACTCATTATGACAGTAAGATGTTAGTGTCTCCCAAAGAATGGCGACTAGCGCGATGACAGGTGCCATCAGTTCAACATGTTTTGGTGCATGTCTTTTTTGTGTATACTGTGAAATACACAAGAAAATGGGTGAGTTACCGCTGCAAATTCTGAGCAGGGATTTTGGCTCGGAATCGAGAAATCACGATTTTTCGAGCTTCCGAAGAACCTAGCTACCAAAGTACTGCTTCGACTTTTGTGCTGTGTGTCTTATTGTATAGGAAAATGTATTGGCTTGAAATGTGTGCATAATTTAAATGGGATAAATACAGTGAGCATTGTTGAATTCGCCCTGAAACGAACTTGGTGTGTTCACCTCGTTACATCCCTTTCCTTTAATATAGTGATAAGACCCTGTTAGTGACAGTACATGCCTTGATGGCAGTTTTTAGCATTACAAGCCCCTGTGTCCGTCATCACAGTTATTGGTCTTTCTCGGTCTTCCAAACCTCGTCAAGGATCCTTACCGGCGGTCACGTGCTTCTTAACAAGTCGACGTATAACCGTGTGAGCGGGGTTCAATGTAAACAACGTTGTTGAGACAGTATACCCCTGTGTAATGCATACTAAAAATGTGTACATTTACGTTTTGCCACCATGTCAAGGAAGCTAAATGTTTGGTGATGTTTTTTAAACTAGTAATGAAAACTGTAGTGCACACACTGCAATTATAAAATTTATACCCCTCTGTGCTTTGCGCCTTTTCAGCACTTTTCAGAACGTGCAACCTATAGCTTTGGAGATATTGTGTGAAGCACATGAGAATATTTGTTAAAAATGCCCTTGGATTCCGATGGTGCTTAATTAGTGCTCATACGTATGTATAAAGGGTATCAGCCACATTCACCGTGTACATTTACATTCGGTATCTGAGGACCGACGCTGAGAACTTTCTTGTGAAAGTTAAGTGAACAGGATTACGAGTGAAGGTGTAGTAAAGGGGTACGCCACAAATCAACTCACACAATTATGTGGATTACACAACAATTTGACAGTTAAGGTAAATGTATTTATATTATCCTAATAAAAATTTGTTCCAAAGTACTGACCTACAAGTGGACACAATGTACAGGGCATCCTATCAACAATAACCCTAGACAAAGCAATATGGCATTAGTAGCTTTGAGACAGAGTCACATCATTTCCAAGTCTGTGGACATCATGATTTCACCCTGAGACATAGTTTATGATTCTCCTTTATTGCCACAGCCATTCAGCCCCGACGTGGGTACAAGATTTGTGTATGTCTTGGAACAGCAACGTCATGGATGAAAAACACTGACAAAGGCCAGGACTATTTCCCCACAAGACCTAAATAACACTAAAGTTCTGTGACAGTCATTCGAGTATATAATGCTTGGTCTATGAGCCAGAGACCTCCTAATCAACTTACAAAAACAACTCCCTCAAGTGAATGCTCCTCACCTCAAGCTAAGTCTAACTGCACCAAGTATAATCATCAATATACAAAAGTGTAGATTATATTTTTCAACAAGCACCATCACCCACAACAACATTTCAAGCTTGTCAAATATGTTTATACTCATAGCCATAAAATAGAATGGACTGTATTTGGGTGTAGCATATCTTTGAAAAACACACGGAGGGGTAAACCAAACCAAGTTTAAACAAATGATGGATGGCGTCCATTAGCAGATGTTGAGTACATGTATTTAGTTTACCTGTACAGGAGAAATAGTTTCTAAATATGTATGAATCAGTTGTAAGACCTTTTCACCTTTATAAAAACATTTTTATGTACAAGTATAATATCATCTAAAACCTCCACAACAAGACACACAACTTCTGGAAAGAGTTGTATTCAGTGTTTACAGTTATCTCATTGTTTCCAGAGATCTTTCAGAGAATGAGAATAACAGAAGGCAGAATGAGAATAAAAGAGGGCTTAATGTACAGCCTTGTTTTAAACCTATAGGACAGCACAATGTTCATTAAACACACCATCGCTCCATCGTACGTATACTTTCACCGAAGTATAGGTGGTCATAAGGACTCTTCACATGTCCCTGCTTTAACCAGATGCGTAGAAATGCCCTTCTAAAATCATCAAAAGCAACAAAGGAATTCTCTTCCTGCTTGACATTTTGGTACAAATGCATTAAATGTGAAACTGTGACCCATTGTGGAATTTCCCTGCCGAACGCGTTGAATTTCTGTCACTTTATCGTTAACGTTTGCACTTAAATATCCTTCATGCATGTATTCTCTTTTTGCATAATGTTTCTATCACTTGCTTGGTAACAGTGTTAGCCTCTGCACTGAAATTTCAATAAAGACGTTGTCAATCCATAAAACTTGTTTCTCTTCGCCATATCAAGTTATATATGCCACTTAAAAACGTTTGCACAGTCTTGTATTAATAAGTGGTTATATATTTTACTTACTACAAGCAAAAATATTCCTCTGTAATTGTCTGGATTTTGATTTTCTTATGTAATGGGACTATGGTTCCCTTTATCCAGGACTCAGGAAACACACCTAAATCAATTAGCATGTTTAATAGAGATCTTAAGAACGGAAATATGACATGTTGAAACCATTTTAGCTTTTCAATGATAATATCGTCAAGTCAAGGGCACTTGCCATTCTGTAAACAATTAATTGTTGTTTCAATCTCTTGATCCGTGTTGGGCGACTCCATAATGCATTTATCAATAAACTCTAGAGAACCTATTAAAACGTTCTTAAAATGCTCAAACAAACTCTACTTGTCATTCCCCTTACTCTGACCACAGGAACGTAACAAACTTCTCACTTCTTTCCAAAACTTAAACGAGTCCTTAATAAATGATTTATGTTTCGTCCTCTTTATGTGATGCGTTTTGGATGTAGTGACTTTGCATATCTTTTTGTGTTGATGTCACTAATAACAATAAATTTTGTTATTTCTTTATTTGCTTTGATATTCCAAGAATTTGATGTTTAAACTCATCTCGAAGGAAGAGTTACAGGTTAAATGACAAATGTCAAGATAAAC